AAAGAAAATGAACAACTTTAAAAAAAGTTTAACTATCAATATTTATTAACTTTAAATAAAATATATAAAAATGATCTTTTTATTTAAATAGATCCTCAAAAGCGTTCCTGATTGAATCATTTTTCATCGCGGTGTTCCACTTCATTTTCTAACAGTTCGTTGTCAAAGGCTTCAAAGTTGTTTTCAACACGGCTTTTTATGGTACGGCGAGATGTTATATAACTCCGTTTCAATCTTGTAAGATGTAGAATAAATTGGGTAGATGTTTCTGCATTACATAAAAGTTTTCCTAATTCATCAATGAAAACAGTATCTTTTCTTATCACAATTTCTTATCACAATCAAATAATTCATATCATTCATCTAGCGGCTCTGTTTCACAAGTGTTTTGTCCTCGCTTTTTTTTTTTACTTTTAAGATATATAATTTTTTTGTTGGTAACAAGTAAAAATTAATAATCGGGGGGGGGGGGGGGGGGAGGGTCTTAACAAGCTTAGGGTGGGTGGGTGGGAAAAATATCCAAAAATTAATAAACGGGGCGGGACGTTTATTAAGAACTCGAGAGTATAAACATAAAAACTCTAAAGTGGTTTGATAGCTACCTATCAAACCGTAAACAAATTTTTACTTGTAAGGATGATTATCAAAAAAATTTATTAGATATATCTAGCGGTGTTCCTCAAGGCTCTATATTGGGACCCCTCTTATTCTTGATTTACATTAATGACTTAAATAAAGCTTCAAATACTTAGCATTATGTTTGCAGATGATACTGGTAGAGATGATGAATTTTTTTGGTTTAGAAGGTTCATGAAATTTACATTGATTGTAGCAATCAATCAGATAATTTTCCCAAACAGAGTTTTTTTTTTCTTTATTTGTTATTTATATCTTGGCAAATTAAAATATCATTGTTATTTATATCTTGGCAATTTAAAATATCATAATCCAATTTTTGAAAATAATATAATATATTAAAATATGTTAAAATATTATTTTAACATTTTAGTATTTGTAGTACGAATGACATAAAAAAATCAAATCAACAAAATCATTTTAATCAGCTTGAGCGGTTTCTCGGTGACAAGACATCACGGTCTTCTACAAGTTTTCTGTTTCTTTATTATGCTATCTTTCTTTTCTAACGATATCTTTATTTATAGTTAATTTAAATTAATGTAAGATAACTTTATATTTTACTTATATTTGTATAAATATAAAACATTGTATAAATATAAAATATTGCTGATTTGGGACAACAAGCACTTTTTATTTGAATAATCTCTAGTTTAATACAAAATTTCAATATTTTTAGAAATTTTAGTACAAATGTAATCAATGTGATATTTCCATGCAATGTGTTCATGCAGGAAAAATCCTAATTAGGAGTTTTCCTGGATGAACACATTGCATGGAAATATCACATTGATTACATTTGTACTAAAATTTCTAAAAATATTGAAATTTTGTATTAAACTAGAGATTATTCAAATAAAAAGAGCTTGTTGTCCCAACTTTATTACTCGTTTATCCATAACTATTTAAATTATGGAAGTATTGCCTGGAGAAATACTAATAAAAATAGATTGAAACGTCTTTCTAACCGTCAGAAGCACGCAATTTGTATTATTAATTTTACGGATCGTCTTACTCATACGAAGCCATTATTCATCAAAATGAGATTACTTAATATATATGAATAAAATGTATTCAATATCTTATGTTTTGTATTTATGTGGAAAAATAATTTAGTTCTCAATTTTTTTTAAAAAATATCTTCACTTTAAAACCTGTTAATAAATATACCCTAAAAAAATGATTTGCAAAACCAAATTTTTTGTCGAACTAAGTTTAATCAATTTTGTATTGATTATCGTGCACCATGTCTTTTTAATAAATTTATTTTGTAAAACTTTTTGCTTTCTTCTTACCCTCTTTTAAAAGTTCAAATTAAAAAATTTATTTTTTCCATGGACAACTATTAATAGTAATATTTTGAAACTGTTAACTTTCTATTATTACTAAGCTAATATAGAAAATAAAGAGAAATAGAGAGAAAATACGATTGATAGTTTTTTTTGTGGGTCATCATTATTGGTCATCACGTAATAAATTATTTCAATGAAATGCATGAACCGCAGTCTAACTAATACATATTTAAGCTGCTCAATATTATCATTTTCAAGTTAATAAATGTGAATATTGCTTAAATAGTATTTTTTCAATAAACATCAGGCTTAGGATATATATATATATATATATATATATATATATATATATATATATATATATATATATATATATATATATATATATATATATATATATATATATACAGGATGTATATATATATTTATATATATATATATATATATATATATATATATATATATATATATATATATATATATATATATATATATATATATATATATATATATATATATATATATATATATATATATATATATATATATAAGATAAAATTATCTTTGTTTAAATTAAGTGATTTTACTTTGGTTTTTTTGTATTAGTCTATATACTTTATATATATATTTTTTTTGTATTAGTCTATATACTTTATATATATATTTTTTGTATTAGTCTATATACTTTATAAAGTTTATTTTCTTTCATCATTGTTAGAAGATTATTCAATTATTTTATTTTGTTATTGTAAGAAGTTTATAAATGCATTGATAAAAAAAGACTTATTTAAGGTTCTGATGACAAGATCTTCGTGATCTTTTTTTAGTTACCTTATTAATATAGTTTATCATTGTATTTGTGAAAGGTAATTGTTATTATTATTTTTTATTATTATCACTATATAATTGTACAACAACAAACGAAAAAACAAAAAACAAAAAAACAACGTAAACAAAACACAAAAAAAGACTTAAACTCAATGAAACATGATTTTATAAACTTTAGGTGGTAGACCACTATTAAAAATCAAAAAAAAAAATTTTTTTTTAATTGTTTATTATTTAAGTAATACAGTTATCGTAATTTACGAATTTCAAGTGAAAAAAAATAGCTAACACCATTAAAAATCATTTTTTAATAAGATATAAGCAAATTTTGTTATTTTTTCGTATCGACGCTTTGTTTATTCCGTTGCTAAACAGCTAACAAGGAAATTGATTAGGAAACCATGATTATAGTATACATTTTTTTAAATAAAATACCAGATGTGGTGATTGCAACTCAGAAATTAGGTTTTGTTTATTGATTGTTACTTTTGGTGCATTTTGCTACATCGGTTTTATTAAATTTTGCAAAAATAGTTGCTGTTTTCTGCATTACTCCACATTTATCCTATCACTTTGATTAAATAATATTAGTAATGGAAAGTAATGGAAAAAATACAATAAAAATAAAATGCGGCATAGCAAAAAACTATTACTCTTCAAAAGAAACCAAAACCAATGAACAAACAATACAGCTGAAGAAAAAGTCTAATTTGCAAAAACTAAAATTTGAATGTATCAATGCAAAAATAAAATTAAAAATGAACATGTGTACATACAAGTTCCAGCAGTAAATCTTCTGTAAAATTTGTAAATGTTTTGTAAATAAAAATAATAGTTCTTTTAATTTTGATTTATTCAATGTTACGAATGACTGACGAATGAATGACTGCGACATATTTATGAACACCGACATACGAGATAAAGTAATAGCTCGCTGTCGAAAATGTAGCTTTTAAATTATAACTTCTTATGATGCTTAAAACAATATGGTTCATAATAGTCTCTTAATTTCAGTTGCATCTTGCCACCGTTAGCAGAGGTTTCATTCTACCAAAAACGTAAGCAAGCCAGCAGCATGAACTTTTGATGTTTGTTCATGTGCAATATTAGTTTTTTGAGAAATGGGTAATGAGTACTATAGTATAGCAAAGTTGCGTGGTTTCATAAACATGTCTGATCCCATAAAAAAAATATTTTTAACTTGTTAAATAAAGAAATTATAAGTTACACAGCTAGACCAGCTCTGCCGTTTTCGCTACGCGGTCGTGCGGGTCTAAATGTAAGCTCAGAAGGCCTTCAGATACCCTTACACATATAGATGTCACCCCTCCTTCAAAACATAACATGTACCACATTAAAAAAGAGCGCGCGTTTCTTAGTTTATTACATTTAATTATAAGTAACTTACTGTAAGCCATAGATCTGAATTACAAGTGAGAAATCGTCAACGCTCGATTAAGTTTAGACATACCTTGATTGGGTCAGGCTGTCATATCCAACATTTAAATATATTAACGTATAACTATAAGTACACTGATATTTTTAAATCTGAAATCTAATATATGTAAAATAACATCTTTATTAGAAGTATACGTTTAATACGGATAAGTTACATCATTCCAATTATGTTTAGAACTTTATGTATGAATTCTTCATCTATCTTTTCAATTATAAATGACAGGATTAGATAAAATTTAATTATGCATTATCGCAACCGGATTGTAGTTTTTATTAGATACATCTGAAAAAAAATAAATAACGCATTACTTTTACCCAGATGTAGTTATGTACGTTTTTTTAGAAGTAATTACTGTAAATACTGGAAGAAATTCGTGCAGAAGTATTTGCTCTTAGAGAAGTTACCAGATTAATTACATCTTTATAAAGATGTTGTTAGAGGTCATTGAATTTCCATATATTGGACAGATGTTAAAAAAATACAGACTATCTTTGTCTACTCTAAAGATTTCTTTAGAGAAACATTAGCCACGTACCATTTTATGCAAAACTTTTAATCCCAAAATACAACAAAAATTAAACAATTCTTTCAGTATTACGTTAAATATCGCAACGGTCAGCACATATTATTACATAAGAGGCTTAGCTCTAAGATCTTAACTTCTTAAATATACATTGCAAATAGCATCATGCTTAAATCTTATTAAAAATGTTCAAAAATATTTCCCCTACAAATTAAAAATGTTAGAGGCTCTTTCGACTTATTTACACAAAAAATGCAATGAAGACATTTCATAAGATGTATCAAAAAGAACCTATGAAAAGTAGCTGCGTAAATGAAAATGGAATTATTTACAATCAGAACGGAACAATCACGATTAGAAGTACTGCGCTACCAGTTCAAACATACGTGCAATAGTTGCATAATTATATATCGCAACTATAACGACATTTTACAGTTTTTAGTGGAGATAACATTATTCCATTAGACTGATCTAGCTAACTGTATTAGTGATTTGTTGATTGGTATAAGTTTATAGTAATCCAGTAGAATCAAATCCAGATAAATTTATCCCAAGGATGGAAATTCGTCCTTGCTTTCTAATTGTATGTTGGAATTTGATGCATACCCGCCGTCTTCTTTTCTTCCGCCACGTCCACCACCGCGTCCTCCTCTTCCACCACGTCCTCGTCTACTTCTATCCTCAAGATGACGATTTTCACCAACAGCAAATTGAAATTCCAAGTTCATGTGTTCCTTGACTCTTCCTGAAGTCTTTAATTTTTCTTCGTAATACTAATAAAACAATGAAAAATAAAGTTTCACAACTGTTTACATTTAAAAACCAACATTACTGACACACCACTTATTGCAATATTTAAATTTTATTTTTCCAGTGAAAGAAAGTTTATTTTAACTATGTTATACAATACTAAACGCACTAAAACAGGTTTTTCCAGTGAAAGTAAGTTTATTTGAACTATGTTATAAAATACTAAACGCACTAAAACAGGTTTTAAGAAATCATAAAAAGTAAAAGTTGTAAAACAGTTTTATATATACAGGGTGTTCAAATTAGAAAACTTTTTTAATTTGTGCTATTTGTACGTTTTGTACTTTAAGGGTTTCTGTTTATTGACGAGCAAAAAAATTGCAGCTCTAACATGTGATTTTATGGACGATGTCAAGTGCAAATTTATTCTCGATGTAAAAGCCGACTTGAAATTTAACTGTTGCTAAACGATATGAAATTTAACTGTTGATAAACTTTTTCTTCTTCTGAGTTTTATCAGAACCAGCTATGACAAAAACCCATACCCATCGCGTATGTATACTGTAGAAAAGCGTTAATAAATTTATTTACAACTCTAGAAGCTGCAAAACATTACCACAAGACACCACACACCTCTAATGTTAAGTAAGTAAACGGATCATGACTGCTATACTACATCATTTTTAGTCAATAACACTACTAAAATTGCTAATAAATACATCAAAGGTCATTAAGTACCAAAAATAAAATTAAATTCTTGTCAAAGAGTTCTGTGGAACACACCAGGAAAGAAAAGTCATAGGATCCTGTAATGTTACAAACTAACAAAAAGTCGACAAAATGCATTTAAGAGCTGCATTAAACGTCAACTGTCATTTCGTGATTTAACAAACATTTAACAAATATTGTAAAGTGTTTGAATTAAATAATACTGTTAAAACCAAATAATAGTTATATTTATCGATTCTTACTAAAAAGGTTACAAATCATAATATAAAGATAATTAGATAAAGCGTATTGAGTAAACTCTTTTATTATAGTCCTTTAAACAAACTTAAATTTCACTTAAACTTTAAATATTTTTTATTCAATACTTCAATAATATTTATTAATGAGTAGTTTGGTGCTAATAATATTACAATGAGTCTATTTTGCCTCAAAGTTACTGATATTATGAATGTATTCCAGATATTGCATTACTGCATGCACTTTAATCTCAGTGGTAAAGATATTTAATTGGTTTAATGGCGGAAAAAACTTAAGAGAGAAATGCATTAGAAAAATAACTTAAAATCTTTAAACTTAAGTTTATAAAGAGAGGAAATATAAGTTTTCACTAAATAAAATTGTGAAAAATTTAAATAAAAATGAAACCCTTAATAAGATATTTGAGAACATAATTTTATTTAGCATTGACAAAAAGGAATCTATTGATACCACAGGATTATTAACTATTATAATTAAAGAAACAGAATTTATTATATTTATTAGTGTATTAATTTTCTCTATAATGGCTATTCTTGAAAAATGTAGATTGAATTATCAAAAGCTTTTTTACAAAAAAACACTAAAATCTTCCATTATTATAATAAAACTAATTTAAATCAAGTTTATTTTAAAACATTTAAATGTTAAAAAGTACTTACCTTCTTGGGAAAAAACAATGACCCATCTGCCTCATTCTCTTCATCAGATGGCTTCTTAAGTGGTTTGCCTTTAAGAACCTTTACACCTTCATTAGCTTTTCTCAGATTGTATTGTGGTTTTGAACGGCTTTCCTCAAGTTGCTTTTTATATTCTTCATAGGTCATCTCAGGAGTATTTTCTTTATTTTCTTCACTGGATTCAACACTAAAAGAATCAGAATAAAAATAAAAGAATTATTTAAAAATTATTAAAAAACTTTTATTTAATTTATATAAACCCCTCTCCTTTATTAATTTTAAAAAAACAACAATTTTTTTAAAGTAATAGTTTTATGGTCATTGTCCTAATTTTAGCTTATATTATGATTATTTTAATAACTTGTCGTAGCTATAAACTTAACTATAATTATTTTTACGATAGATATCATTAGTCATAATTTTTAGTTAAGTTCTATAGTTACTACTTGTAATGTTATTTATTCATATCATTATTATTTATATTATTTCATTATTATTGCAATTATTAATATTATCTTTGATATTAGTGCTTTATTTTTTTTTTCTCTTTATTTTATTTTAAATTAAATTTTTTCTTAATAGTTTTTTTTAGACGTCACTTCACTGACTACTTTTTAACAAGTGACAGCTGACCTTATTTATGTGAGTTTAAAATATATTATTGTAAAATCTTCATATTTAATGGTTAAATAAATGGATTAAATAAGTTTATTACATAAGGATTTTTTTTTTCTCTTTAAAGTTTTAATTAAAAAGCCAATAGGGTACTATTGTTCTTTCATCACAAATTGAATTAATTAAAACTTGGATTCTGGGATCAAAATGCAGACTAATAACTCAAAAATGTATAACAACGATACAAGTTATGTAGTTTCAATACAAACTCTCATTAACTTTTTGAATTCTTGTTTAGTGTTTGTGAATTTTTAAGAGCTTTCATTAAAATGAAAGTTTTTATTTTGATTAGTTTGATATTTTTAAGTTAATATTCAATATTTTAAGATATTTATAGTTTCCTTAGGCAATAAGTTAAATTTAATGAATTAATATGCTTAGGATGGGTATATTTTCTGTAAGTTAACTAATTACCCCTCTTTTGTATTAAACACCTGAGAGTAAACGCTTAAACATTAAAAATTTGACAAGATCAGAAAAATATTAATCAGTTCTCTTAACATTGACTGTTATAACGATATTATAAAAATAAAAATATTAAAAAATATATTTAGTTAATAAGTATATAAATTTCTTTTTAAAAGGTGTGACCAAATAAAATAAGTACATATTTATAAATAAGTTTTAATAATTTTTTAAGAGAGCTTTATTTTAGCTTAAATTTGTTCAGAATGGTTAATTCTTTTGAAATTTTCTTTTTGTATAAGTACTTGTATAGGGATTATACAAAGGAATCATATACACAGAAAAAAAATTAAAAAATTGCAATTAGCAAAAATAAACAGTAAAACTTGGAAGAAAAAAAATTTAATTTTACAAAGTAAACCTAGTACACATGCATTGTTAATGGTTTAATTATGAAGTAACATAAACTAATTGATATGTTAGTATTAATAAATAAAACATTGTTCCATAAAATAATCTAAACTTTTGATTGAATTATTTTAAATTTAATCTAAATAAATATGTTCATTAAACCATTCAAAATAACCTCGTGCTATTTACAATTGCTTTTGATTGCATGACCTCTTCTTTTATAAACTTTTCCCACACTTAAAAATAGTGCAATATAATAAGCTACTTGTTTCTGTAAAACCATGTCTTGAATTATAAATTCTTTTATAGAAAACAATCTTGAAAATAAACTCCATGTCGAGTGGACACAGAAAAATCTGATCAACTTCAATTTGCGATTTCTCTTTAATTATAAATGCTTTTTATTTCAGTTTTTTTAAATATTAAATGTGTTTACATTAGTTAGGGTTTTAACTATATTTTAAGGGGCTCAATGGGCTGTTAGCCAAGAGATTGAATTTTATAGCGGGTTGATGAAATCATTCTGCAGATTGTTTCTTTGATTTACTTTATTGGTGGCATTAATCTATTTCTTTTGAAAGTCTTTTTTTTTTTAAATTCTGTTACTTCACATGTCTTAGGAAGAACTTTAACTATTGGCCAAAAATATTCAATCTCATGCTCCTCATGACAATCTAAGGAGTTCACATTATTTTCTTGGCACCACTATAGAACTTTTTTAGAATAGCGAGAAGCAAGATCTGGCCAAAAGACATCAGTATTTGTTTTTAGTTAATGGCAGAAGTCTTTATAGGAGACATTTGATGTAGAGGCAGTCAAGGTCTTTTAAGCGATAAAACAAGAGAACTGCATACCACAGCCACTAATTGCTTGCCACTTAAGAAATACAGATACAAATTTTTTTGTCGTATATATTTAAATAGATTGTCGACAGGTTTATCTTTGTTTTCATAGTACAATTGTTGATCAGAAAGTTGTGAAAAATTCACACAACAATCTTTAATTACAAATATACATTTATCTGTTATTATTTAAATTAACTTCTTTGCTCGTCAAATTCTTTTTATTTCACCATTTAAACTTCTCTTAGGTGTATTTTTCTCATGAAATGCTTTAATCCCAGCATTTTTAAGTACTTTTTTGATTAAGATTGAGAAGCCTTGAATTTTCTTGCTAGATATCGCTGTGACTGGTTAGAATTTCTTGCTATTAAACTGGGAAGCGACTTTACCTTTTAGAATTTATAAAAAATTTCTTTCTAGCATTTCCAGGTTTTTCTTTTGAAGCTTTGAGGAGTCTTAGACTTATTTATAATATCTATGACTGTAGATTTTAGGAAATTAGTATGTTTAACAATCAAGTGACATGAAGTTGATGGATATTTGCAACAACAAAAAAATTGCATTTGATTTGTGAACAAATATTTATCAACACAACTAAATATAAGAAAGCAATGTTTAAATAAAAAAATAAAAGAAAATAAAAAGCTTTTGTGGTTTCAGAGAAATTTAATTTATTTTTTAAAAAAAAGTTGACTTGAGTTTTCCATGCTCACCCAATAATTCCACACTCCCAAATTTAGCCACTAATGCTACTTTAATATAAAATTTGATAGTTTATGCTTTAGCTTTTTTACAGATAACTATTAAGACTTTGTTATAACGCTCACACTCATTGAGCTGAAATATGAAAGTTGATAATTTGATGGTCCAAGAAAGTCATAAAAGTAGAAATTTGAGATTCATTAAAGCAATAAAATCTTATATTTAATGTTTATATAATAAAGGACAAAATGATAAAGAAAATAAACAACTCAACCATGGCTATTTCCAGTATTAAATTCATTGTTGCATGTCGTATTTATATTAGAACTGATAAAAGGTTACAAATTTCTTTGCTATAACGATTATACATATTATTTTCATTTATGTTAATATTTTCATTCTTTTCAACAAGAAGACCTGCAAGATGTAAACTTTTTGTTTACATATATTATTTTGAAAGCTATATATTTCTTTAATTCTTTTTTTCCAAGTTTTCCAATGAATCCTTCATTCTTCCTGTTTTGTTTTTTGTTTTAATTACACTAACTAGAAACATTCAAGCTTGCAGGAACCTGATGAGAATAAATCCTAATAACATTGCACTTTTATACACATTTTCTTCAGAATTTGTACTTAGTTTCTTTGCATTTTCTATTATATTAATATGTTAAAACATGTCTCTTTATCATGGAGAAAATTTACAGGGAAATCTTTTGTGTGTTTTTAAGGCTTTTTTTTACTATTATAATTCATGTTAATTTTATGTGGTCATTAAGATATCTAAAGAATTTGTTTAAAAAGAGAAGAATATTCTTTAGCTTTTTTTATGTTTTTAGAAATTTGAAGTTTTTAAAAATTTCAACTCTCCTGTTTACCCCCTCCCTAATTTATTTCCAGCAGATACAAGACATGTTTCAGATCCCCCTTTTATTTAGCAAGTTAGAGTAACACAAATAACACAATATACCATTTTCTTTAATTTTAATATAATTTATTTAAATTTTAAATTACTAATTACAAACAAGAAAAATTAGATGAGTTTCTAATCTCCAAACAAGAAATACAAGGTGGGTTATAAAGTTTTAATTTAGTAACAAGTTCACTAAGTTTATTTATGTCAAAAATTTATAAAAATGTAAGTATTTCTTTACAAACTTATGAAATGAATTGAATCAAAGTGGAAATACTTTATATCAAACTAGTAAAAAAAATTAGGCAATCATTAAAATTAGGCAGTGATGAAAAAAACTATAAAAATTTAATTGTAATTTTTATAATACATAATTAGTAGACAAGTGTGGTACCATGGAAATTAAGATACTCCTTTTATTTACTTTTGTGGCATTAGAGTCCTATCCTTGGTCCTGTGATATTTTATATCTATATTACTGATCATCTCAATTATTTAGTGATCTCATTTCTGTGATATATTATTGGTTTTAGTAGCTTGTGAACTCAAACAAATTTTATTTATTTATTGCTTTTATACAAGTTTCAGTCATTTACTGCTATTTTTTCAGGCAGGCGAAAACTCTTTGCAAATATTACATAACTTATCATTAAATAAGTCCTACAATTTTACTTACATGGAGTTAAGTTAAAATGTTTTGTTTATCACAGAAAATAAACATAATAAATTTGATATTTTATCTTTTAATTACAGCAATTTCTTCTCAACATTAAAAACTTAAAAGCTTATAGTTCTTTAGAATATGGAGATTTTTCCTCATAAATGTCAAAATTCAAAATTGTAAATGCATCTGTAATATTAAAACTGTCATTTGGTTACTAACCAAACATAAGACCAAAAAAACAAAACAAAACAAAAAATTACAAAACTCAATTTAAAAGACTATGTATGAAAAAATTTGTTATATTGAAAGATAGAACAATATTACAATATCTATTCTGAGTAATGTTACCTATTGCTTGTTGGCAATTAAGAGCTCACTGTTTTTAATAATTAACAAACAAAAAATAAAAATTTCGGCTTAATAACAATGTGGTAGAAATTAAAATTTAATTTTTGAATGAACTTTTAATCATTAGCTTACTATATTTTAAATGAGAAAAACGTTAAAACACAACAAAAACTTTTGTTTCCCTTTACGAATTTAATTGACTAAATTCTTTTTGGCTTTGTTAACAATTAAAATAACTACTACTATGTTTTAAAGGGATCTAAAATCTTTGAGATATGTTATGTTCATATTAAAAAGAATGACATAAAAAAATGTTTATACTAAATTTTTTTGATTTAATCAAAGCTCGCCTTCATTATTTTGTTGTAGGCCAAGTAGTATTTAGAATATATGTTGCAATCTATAGACTTAATAATTTATTCAAGCAGTTTTATTTCTAAAAGTTTTAGTACATAACATCATTAATTTTTTGTTTGTTTAAAAGATCAATTACGAAATAAAAAAATCATTGACATCATGTACTAAAATGCATAGGAACAAAATGTGCATGATTAAATTATCAAGTCTGTAAACTGCTGTGTATATTATAAATTATTTGGCCTACAACATAACAGAGAAGGCTAGCTTTAACTAAAACAAAAAAGTAAGTTTTTCTTGGTATGCATTTATTCTTTTAATCATAAGAATTTAGCCCTAACGTTTTTTTTATTTTTAATATGAATACAACATGTGTTGGAGGTTTGGGATTCCTTTAACTAAATTTTTGGTTATTTTTAAACATCTTTTTTGCTTAATATCTTAAACTCTATTCCTATTTTTGTTCCATATTTGCAACAAATGATTTATTAATAAAAACTTTGGTTACAAACATTGTCTACAATTTAAGCTGTTTTAAAACATGTAATTTAGACCTTTTCTTACTATTTTGAAGCAACTCGAGCACAAGAGTTTTTTTGTACAACTACAGCATATAGTGTTGTTTGTGGTTATTTTTAGTTTACTTTAATGCTATTGTTTTTTTATGGTTATAAAAAAACTCAAGGTGATGCAAAAATGGAAAAAACTAAAATGTTTAAAGATCAAAGTTTTTGATTAGTATCATGATAAACTAGCATTAATATAAGATCTTGTTAAGCATTTTTATGCAACATACTCAGGGTTAAGGTACCGAGATCATACTTTTTCTTGGTTTAAGAATTTGACATTTTACTATACAAGAAGCAATTGTGTGCTTGTAAACAAGTTCTGATTCTGAGTTATTACACCATGCAGAGCGTAATAACTCAGCAAGATGAATCAGAAAAAGAGGCTTAACTCAAAAGAGAATCATGGTATACCTCAAGTTGAATAACACACTCTTCACTGCAATGACATAAAAAAATTAATACTTGGTTGTTATACTAAAGGTACTGTACTCAATTTCAAGCACCTAAAAATTAATAACTATTCTTTTTTCTTTCTCTTTAAGATTTTGCTGTTGAATCTTAAAGAGAAAGAAAATTGGTTGTCCAAAAAGAGGTCACTCACAAGTCAACACACATAGAAGAAAAAAACTTAATCCCAAACAAATTTGTTATGATGAATCAAGTCTTGTTAAGAAGTGTTATGCAGCTTGCATTTTACATACAAAATGGCGATTTTTATGTTAAGTTGTTTTACATTAGGCGAAACTTATCTTATTTAGGAATATTTTAATTATCTTTTAGTATTATTTGTGATATTTATTCAGAGATTAGACCTTAAAAAAAAAGAAGCATTTAACCACAACTAAAAAACCACAAAATAGAAACAGCAACTAGAAAAATTGATAAAAATTTTTTTAAAACTAATTCAGTAACTAAAATTTATTTTTAAAAAAGTGCTACATACCCTTGCTCTTGTGCTTCACCATCTGATTGGGGTGCACTAACAACAGCCTGTGGCTCTTCACTAAATGTATAAACTTTTTAACATTAAAAAAACATTAATTTTAATAAAGTTTTAATTTGTTATTTAATTTATGCTTAATATTAATACAAAACACTCAGCTCACCCTGCATTATCTTCTCCAGGAGTGCCCCAATTGTAAGCACCAGAACCGTCACGTTTTTCGGTTGGCTTAACTGAACTGCTTAACAAAAAATATTTTATTATAACATAACATGTGTGGTAATATTTTGTAATAACTATTGAACATTTTAATGATTTTTATGTGTAAATATATACATATACTATGTCTACATATAATAGCTGATAACTACTTATTATTAAGTGCAGATAAAAAATGGGTAACTTAATTTTGATTTTAAGTTCTTAGGCATTTTGTATTATTAAATGGACACAGGGTTGTCATACTTAGACAATTTCATTTTCTTAATTCCAACACTTGGAAATAGGAAAAATAAGGTCGACAATGTTTGCCGACCTTAACCTGTTAGAGGTTGGCAAAAAAAATTAAAAAGTTTTACCAAAAAAAAAAATAGAAACAAGGTCAGCAATTTTTTTCCAACCTTTAACACTTTTAGGTCGGCATTGCCACCCTAATTGCCACCCCTAATCCTAATATTATAGTTGTATGAGTAACTATAAAGTAATTTAGCTAAATTAGAAAATCCACTATTAAATATTTATACCTTCACAACAATTATAGGTTAAAGAAAATAACTGCTAAGTCATTGTAAAATGAATATAATCGAACAACTAAAAACAACTTTGATGTTCTCTTTGCTCTCCTTTAACACAGCTCATTAAAGTTTAAATTAATTTTTAAGCAAATTTTTCTTAGAGGCTTTACACTTTGTGAGACATGCAAAGAAAGTAAATAAATATAAAAGCAAAACAAAAAAAATCCCAATTTAAAAATTAAAACAAAAACAAAAATTATTAATGCAATAAAAAGTTGCTAAAAAATAAATAAAAAAGAACCTTTTGTTACTGCCACTTTTTCTATCAAACTCACGTCCACGACTTGCACCACGTCCACCACGACCTCTTCCTCTTCCTCGAAAACCGCCACGTCCACCACGGCTTTCATTATTCGAATCAGAACCTCCAAATCCTTTATCTGTAGCTGAATCAGAAAATCCTACAGAACCACCGAAGCCACCTGTTGGTGCACCAAAGCCACCTGATGGTGCACCGAAACCACTTGATGGTGCACCAAAACCACTACTACTAGATGGAGCACCAAAACCAGAGCTAGAATCTGTGCCATTTTGATTTTGAGGACATTCACGAGCAAAATGACCAACCTCATTACATTTTCTACATGCTCCACCTCCAGGTGGACCAGATTTTGGACATTGCCGAGCAAAGTGCCCTTCTTCACCACACTTATGACAAGCCCCACTTCTTGGAGCAGTTTCAGTATTAGGACACTCCCTTGCAAAATGTCCTTCACCACCACATTTATGACAAGCTCCTTTATTCCCACCATTAGATGCAGGGGCTTGAGTACAGTCTTTAGCAAAATGTCCCTCTTCGTTACATCTCCTACATGCTCCTTTTGAAGTCTCATTTTTTGGAGCTGAGTTGTCACCACCAAAACCTTTACGACCACCTTCAGCAGGAGAATCTGTGGATTTGAAACCACCACGACCATTTCCACGACCACGACCGCCTCCGCGACCCCCGCGTCTATCAGAGGACTCATTTTTAGGTTCTAAAAAAAATTAAAAAAAAAACAATAAAATAATATCATAAATAATATATGATTGATATTAAGATATATACTTCTTTTTTTTTTGAGGTCAACCTACTAAATCTCTAAAAATATGTAGTTCTAAAAATGATAAACAAAAAATTATAAAACACACTATAATACACCTTAATATATTTTTTTTAACTAAAGTGAACATGAAGAAAAATTGTTAAGGTAAGGTTTTTGCCCAAGTTTAAAACAAAATAAATAAACTATTTAGAAACAATTGGTTACTTTAATATGGAAAATAAATGTCAATAAAACTGCTTTAAAAACACTAAATTGAAAATTTTTTTAAAGAAAATAAAATAGCCTAGCCAGGACTAATCATAACAATAAATAAAAATAAAAACTTAATACATCAGCAATTTGAAAGCAATATTTAACTGAACTCTTAACTGAAACTGTTATTAAAACTCCATCCATTGATAAATATAATTTCTTCACAGCTTGAATTTAATTTTATTAAATGGCTGGTTATTGTCAAAACAAAATAAGTCTCATTAAAGAAGGAGTAAAAAATTTGAAAAAGGTCTCCGGGTATGAAAGTCGTAAAATCACTATTTTTTCAAATTTGGTGTTCAGGAGATCCAAAAAATCTGAAAACATTATGGTTTTTTTTGGAATAAGTATCAGAGCATATGAAAGATCAACTTATATTAATTGAAGAAAGAGAACACAAACAATACTTGTATGGCCAATTGTTTGAAATATGAATTTTAGCAATCGATTAATGCTGTAGTGGCTTTTCCTGCATACATTACTACATACATCACATGCAAATATTAACTAACACATGTACATACTATCTTTGCAAGTTTTATTGAGTACAAACTTTAGCAATAACATCATACTAAAATAAACATCTGCATGGGCCTCTGTACTACATCAAACTGAGGGTTTGAGCAGTAAAATCTATATACAAAGTACATGCATTAAAACAAAAAAATAATTTTCACTTCTTTTATATTTCTTTTAAATGGATTTAAGTTGAAACTTGTTTTAACTACAATAGCTTTACTTTATCCTGTATGTGTAAGACACATAGACTTTTATTTCATACTTATTTTTAAAATTTGTTATAATACTTATAGCATGCTTATATATGACCTATGTAGAACAAATTAAGCTTGTACAATATACTATGCATATTGTACAATTTCTACAATGTACATAATATATCGTACAAAATGCAGAACAAATGAGGTTATTGTATATTAAAGTTTGTTAAGGTTAACAATTATGAAGAATTTTGAAAGCAAAATAACTTATTATAAACTGATCAACATAACTGTAAAAGCTAAAATATTGTTGGTTGATTAAAAACATATGAGCTAAATGTGCAAACTCTATATGAATTATTTTCTATAATACAACATAAAATTTACTTGGCTTATTGATATCAGCCCTTTTTGAATTATGAAAGCTGATAATGTATTTTTGTTCCTTTTAGTCAGTGACATTATAAATATACCATTTAACATATTACTATAAAACAAATACTAATATTTAAATTTTTTATATCAAAATAAATACGATGGTGCCATTGAATTTACTTGACAATTCCATATTTTGTAAATACATGTTATAATGAAGGTATGGACAACTTAAAAGGGAATACCTCATGACGGTCTTTACCTAATTCTTATTAGAAATATTACATGTATTTATAGTAAACAGTATATTTTACCTTGTAAGAATACCTTTGATGATAAACAAATCAAATACATTTACTAAAATTTACAATTTAGGCAGACACAAGAAAATAAACGTTTGCGAACTGATTGTATTAATGTTAAGTAAACCACTTTTGTAAAATCGCCATATGCATATATAAATATGTATGCATTAACATATAAACAAAAAAATATCAGCAGCACTAGAAACATTATTAACTTAGTGATGATGCATTGAAATAGGAAGTTGCATTTTATTGGCAATAGACGCCACATGACTTTTCAAAAACAATTTACTGTGAAATCTTAATATGATTTTGATAAACCAACACAACTTACTCTCGGCAGTCTCAATTGGAGCAACAGTCTCCACTTTAGCTGGTTTTGAATCTTTAGATTTCTTTGCAGCATCCTTTTTGCCCTTGCCTTTAACCTCTTTTTCTTTTTTAGATGGCTTTTCTTGGGCTACTCGAATTAACTCGAAAGGATCATCTATGATATCATTATCAATACCATTAAATCTATTATTTACTCCAATTGAGTATTCTGACTCCATATCTCCAGCTGGCATATTATCTGGATTCGATAAAACTGGATTACGATCTCTCCTAGATCTTTAGGAAACGACGCCAATATGCGTCTAAGAACTTGTTAAAAATGGAAGTTGTCCTCGATATGCAGACCGCCTTACGGAAAAATTAACCACTTCAGGTCCATTCTTCTTACCATGCTTTGTATAATGCGGCAATTGCTGTTTATAACCGCTTTTTGTTATAAGAAAATTCAGAAAGAAAAAAATTCAAAAAAATGAAAAAAATTGCAACAACATCAAAAATAACCAGGGTTAAAAAAGTTTAAATTATTTTTGATATTTATTACTTAAATACACTAGGTAAAAAAATCTCAAATTTAATTAATTATATTAAATGCATAGAAATTCTAGCTTATTAAAAAAATAATAACTTTTTTGACAGTGTGTTACAACTGTTATTTAAAGTGCCTTTGCTAGAAGGTTATTTTTATGGGGCGAATAACCTTTAATAAATAAAAAAAGTTATTACTATTTGGTGTTTGATAAGTTTATGAAGTTAAAACTTCATAAACTTATCAAACACCAAATAGTAATAACTTCTATATCAATTTTTCTGGTGATGCAGTTTTTGTGTGTAAAATTCAATCATTTTTAATTTGGGCCATTTTACACATTCACCATAACAATTTATTAAGCCAAATATAATGAACAACCAAATAAATATTATCTTGTTAAATTTATGTTTAAACGTAATAAAATTATCTTCTAAAATATTTTACCCACTGTTTAAAACAAATAAGAACAGTTTCATAATAAGGTTTTCAAATAACAATTATATTTAGCCAAAAAGTAATTTTGCGGCCACTGAGTTTTCAATTTCTATTAGAGAACCAAAGGTATGGAAAAAAATAATAACTAATGAACTTTAAAAAATTGCAACGCTTAATAAGTTTAAGATCAAATTAAAACTATTGATGAGCGAAGTAACGCTAACTTTTTTCTGTTGCTTTACGGGCAGATACTGATAAACCTTTGAAGATTTGTCATTACCACTTTTATTGCTTCAATTCTTCTTTTATAAAAAACTTATAATTTATAAAAACTTTCCTATGTGTTCCAGATACTTTAAGGTATATATTGGTTTAACAGGAAAGTTTCAGGACTACGTATATCTGCCTGCATGCTTTTTAATAATATGGTTTTTATTATACTGAATATTTTATTGTTGTATTTAAAAAATTTTTAAGCAATATAGAAAAATTTTTTTTAACCTATCCCCTCCTTGGATCCGTTGTATATAAATATCTCTCTATATAAGTTCTATATATGTTTAAATATCTCGTGATAATAATAAAATAACTAGTGATAATAAAATAGAAACGCAATCATAAAACAGATTAAGGATGTACTTTTTATAATCAGATCTCTAATATATATCCGCATAATTTATAAAATGCTTCAAATAATGCTTTTTCAAAATAATACTATTTAAGATTTTTTTTTAATTCGTCGTAATTTAAAATAAATCGCTTTCACTTGTTTTTTCGCTTTAAACCTTTCCAATCTTGTTGTCAAGGTAACGAGTTATCACATGTTTTCAAAGTAATGTTCAGTGCTTTAATGTAGTACTAGCAAAAAGCAATCCGTAATACGGGTTTTGGTCGGTCTGTTACATAATTAATTTATAGTCGCTGTTTTCCACAATTTAATGTGGAAAACCTTAACTAATACCCTTTTAGAAAATCCCGTTCAGCTTGAAAAAATTAATCCATCCGTAAAATTAACATAAAAAGTAAGAGGAGGTAAAATAATTTACAAACTACTACTTAACATTTACAATTACTACTTAACATTATTTGAGTAATTTACAAATGGCATAGGTCATAACAGTGTAAGGCAGAAGCATTTTCATCGACCTTCCTAAGTTTAACACAATACGTTTTTAGTTACTGACACAAAATAATAACACTTCGTCATGCTTTAAATTGACGAAAGTATCAACTAAATTCTTGTAATAATTTTTATAACACGAACCATTAAGATTGAAATGAAGTTAAATTATATTATACAGGAGTTATCAATTTTTGGTATCCCCTTGATTAATTTTTCTTTAGAATAGAAAATTGTTAACTTAAAAATGTTAAATGCACACATTTAAATAAATTTATTAAAAAATAACAAAGTTTATTATAAATAACTAAGCAACTGAGTACAAATACGTTTCAAACAAAAAAAATTTAATTTACGATCAAACATGGGTATAACAAATTTGAAAAAATATGTAAACTTAATGCATTAATGCATCATATGACAAACCTAAAATAAAAATTATGACAGATAAGTAGACATAAAAATTTGTAAACCAAACTGACCCGACCCGGGTCTTGTTAAGTCCGTTCAACACAGACCATTTCTATATTATTTGTTTGGCCTCTTTATTTAATTAATTTTTAGTAAACGGTAATTTGCCACCATTTACTAAAAATTCCTTTTGTAACTCGAAACTTAATATTCCTAAATATTTTGACTCTAATAAAAAGGTTCCTCCTCTCTTTTTGCTTTAATGGTGGCCTGGTGAATAAAATAAAATAATAAAATATAAAACAATGATCTACATATATAAGAATGTTTTCTTTTTTTCCTCAAAAGTGATGCAAATACAGACTAAGCTAACTAATTAGTTAAATACAGAAATAAAACTTAAGTAACTCGATATTAATGCGCAAAACTACAATATTCTCCATGTTTTTGAAGGTTTTTAGTTACGACCCCCCATTTACAAAGATCCCCTTAAAATACGTACAGCAAATTATAAGGCATAAAATAGATAATATATAAAATTAACTAATAGCATATATTTATATCTTTTTAACTAACAAAATTTTACAATAAAAAGAAATCAGGTTTTTTTATTTTATAAATCTTATAAATGCGTCATAACGTAATTCTAAAATAAAAAAGTAATGAAGTTATGATATCATAATTACAAAGAAAAAAAAAAAACCACCACACAATTACCGAAAATCGATTTACCTATTTATAGTAACCTATTTTGAAATTGCAGTTAAAGATTTATCGAAAATGTAACTATAAAATCTGTTTCGAAGTACAAAAGCATTAACAATACTAAAAAAAAAAATCAAACTAAGATATAAATTGTTGTCTTAGCTTTTATAATTTAAACATATATACAACTATAAACAAATATGACTTTATGTAACACATATAAACACATTTTACAACTATTGACTGATGGATATATTTATCAAAAACTATGAAAAAAAAATAAATAATAATAAATATAGTTATACATACAAAATGTGCTCACAACCTTTATAACTTTAACAGTAAATTTTCGAAATGAAAATCTAAAGACTATAAATTAAGAACATTAAAAAATATAACAATATTTATGTTACATTTTTTAACCTACTATACCTTGAATAAGATGTTTATCAATTTTGAAAAACAAACTATTAAATGCTCTAGTTCTTGAAAATGCAACATATAGTTGACCATGAGAGAAGCACGGTTTTTGAGATACTTCTTTTGTCTATATGTTTAATTTCGCGTTACGTAATATATAGACGATCCCTAAAAGAAAATACTTAAAAACTAAAAAGATTTTATTTATTACAATATTTGAACAATCAAGGGACAATTTAAAGAATTATATCTTTAAATAGCAAATTATCAATCACAGTATTAAAAAATACGCAAGAGCTCAGTAATTACATGAGTTTAATCAATTCTCTCTCTACAATTTTCAATACTAATTTTTATCTCATCTAAGAAAGAGAGGAAGTCTTTCAAAAACAGCATGTTAGAAAAAGTAAAAAAGTCGTGCAATAAATAAAAGTAACTGGTTTTATTATGCTACCAATAAACAAAATTAGTTTTACCTTGACTAAAAGTTAATTTCCAGCATTTCTTAATTAAGTTCCAGCTTCTCTCTAACTGTTGACAAATGATTAATATTGTAAATTTCACATTATATTAAATTTACAAAATTAAAACCATGTTACAACAGTAAGAAAAATAATCAAGTGATGACAAAGACAACTAAAAAAAAATGAACACAATTATGTTTAAGATTACAAAAAAAAAAAAAAAAATTAAAATCATTTAAAATTGAAACTGTTATTATTTGTTACTATAAATAGTAAAATTCATACTTAGCTTTATTTTAAAGTGTCTATGTAAAATCAAATAATAGACATCAACACCGCTTGACACTGAATTCTGGCATATTCCTGTTCATTAAGCAAAATTTCTTATATTTCAACGACAATTAATTTTATCACGCCTAGATCTATTTCTTTCATATGACAACAATTTCAAGTCACCTATAACCATTTACACTAATAACTTCTTCGAGCCTAATATTATACATCTGTTATCATTGAACATATTACCAGTGATTATACTACTGTATTATTATCATCTTAATGCACAAAAATAATAAATGCAGAATCTTGTATAAAAAATGAAGCAATGTCAGTCTAAAGTAATATATATATATGTATGTATATATATTCCAATTTTTTTTATTCTTTTTAATTTTTTCTTTGAGATAATATTTATATAGATTCAGAGACATATAAAACAAACTGATATAGGCACATTTATGTATATAAACTTACCTGTTAAAAATTACAGTCAGTTTTCCATGCTAAATACATAAAATATATATCTAATATAAAATAAAACAAAATATTAAACTTACTTAAATCAGTAACAGTTTAACTGTCTAAATATTTTTATTATTAACCCTTCTATTTAAAAAAAGAAACAAATGATTTGAAGTGACTAAAAAAAACTTTAGCTCTTTCCAATTGCACTAAAAAATAAAATAAATCTTGCTTTGCTAAGTTGCCTAGTTCTTAAGAATCTGAAAACAAATAAGTAAAAAACCAAGAACAGACAAACATTTATTTATTAAACTACTCTATTTAAACAAATTAAATTAAACAGAGAACAACATTGATTCTCCTTGAAAGCTGAAAAACTTTTCAGCTCAAATTTGCTTGCAGACCTTGCTTATAAAACCAATTGAATAAGAAAAGCATCAAAAAAGCCTAGAAGCTACTTAAAAGTGGTATATGCAACATTGAACTTTAAATGTTGACTGGAGTAGATATTTTTAAAAAATTCAAAATGATTTGTTCTTCTATAGCAAATAAATACAAC